CTATGTTTTTTCATATATATATATATATATATGTATATATATGTATATATATATATATATATATATATGCACACACACACATACACACATATATACCTATGATAAAATTTAACTTGTAAATTAGACACACTAAGGGATCAACAACAATTGCTAACAGTCAAGTAGAACAATTATAACAATATACTATAATAAAAGTTATGTGAATGTACCCTCTTGATCTTAAAATGTCTTTTTGTGCTGTACTTACCCTTTTTCTCATGAAAATGTGAGATAGTATAAAACCCACGTGATGAGAGGAAGCGAGGTGACTAACGTAGGCACTGTGACATAGTGTTAGGCTATTACATAAAGATGTGAAGGTTGGTTGAACACAAGCACTGACACCTAGCTGATTCTTTTTTTTTTAAATTTATTTTTTATTTATATATGACAKTGGAATGCATTACAATTCTTATTACACACATACAGCACAATTTTTCATATCTGGTTGTATACACAGTAAGCTAGCTGATTCTTGAGACAGCAACTAAGTGACTAACAGGAAGTTAGCATGGACATACTGGACAAAGAAATGATTCACATCTCCAATGGCACTAAATAGGACCTTGTGAGATTTTATCACACTACTCAGAATATCTTGCAATTTAAAAATTCTGACTTTTTTCCTGGAATTTTCCCATTCAGTTTTCTCAGAATAAAGTTGACCATGGGTAACTGAAACCATGGAAAGCAAAACCAGTCTGTTCAGTAGCACTAATTGACTATTTCATCAATTCAGTGTGTGATTGTACTTCTGTCATATTTAGTAATTCCATTGATTAGGCAGAACTCATGAGGTTCTGGCAGATGAAAATTTTACTAATTTCCTGAAATGACCTTTCAAACATGTTCTATTTTCTACCTGAGTTTATGACCCACTATAGAGATATAAAAATTGAAACAGATGAATCTTAAAATACAATTTTCTTGCTGAATTCAAGGATAAGACATAAATGTTTAATGACAGCATGATTCTTGGCTCCAAATCCCCAAASTAGACTTTATGTAGAACAGCTCTGAACAATCACAACATTTTCTCTGAGTGAACTTTAAAGTTTACTCTCAGGCTGGACTGGATGTGCTAGCTACTAAACTGAGACAGTGTGAGGGACCAAAATGTCTAGATGAAATTTAAATGAGTTTAGGCAAATAAACTAAGAGGTACTTCCCAAGATTTTGTCCAAGAACGGATGAACTGCATTTTGTCTTACGTTATTGGTGCCACTATAACTAACAATCATGATAGTTCATAATTTGAATRATTACCATATGGTAGGTACCTTAAAAACCCTTGCAAAATCAAAAACAAATTTACTAGATGTATTAATCCCAGTCCTCCAAGAAACAGACACCAAGATAGGATTAAATATACATGCAGTCTATCAGAGGAAATTCCTGTCAAGGAAAGTTAAGAAGAGCTAGAGGAGGTTGGGAAAGTCATCAGACTCCAGATAAAGGAAAGAGGGAAGAAATGAAGATTTAGTAAAAGAACCTCTGTCTGCAATGCCCATCCTAAGGTATTTTCTGAAAGCCAATAGGAAGTCTGTATTGATTTTCCATTGCCRCCATAACAAATGATTACAAATTCGGAGGCTTAAAATAACACAAATGCATTATCTTACCATTCTCAAGGTCAGAAACCCTAAAATCCAAGTGTTGGTTGGGCTGCATTCCTTCTGAGGATCTGGGAGATCATTCATTTTCTTTCTATTTTCAGCTTCTAGAGGGCATCTGTGTCTATGAGCTTGTGACTCCTCCATCCTCAAGGCCAGTATCTTCTCATCCATCCCTCCTTGCCACTTTCTTTGAACTCTACCTTTATTATCACATCTCCTTTTTCTGACTTTGACCCTCTGGTCTACCTCTTATAAGGACCTTTGTGATTACTTTGGGTCTCCTGGGATAGTCTAAAATAATCTCCCTATTTTAAGATCCTTACCTTGATGGCATCTACAAAATCCCTTCTGCCATGTAAAATAATGTGGTCACTGGTTTTGGGATTAGGAAGCCGATGTCTTTGGTGGGTATTATTTGACCTACCACCAAGCCTTTAAGCTAAAGATCACTCATCAAAGGAGCTCCCAATTTCCTGGAATGGACATCCCTTAATGTCCCTGATGCTTTTTCTCTTTGACTGGAGTGGCCCTGTGAAATTGTGGCCTCATTTCTGCCACAGTCAGAAATCCAAGAGGCTCATTTTTTTTTTATGACCACTACATGCATACACATAGAAAGTTTGAATAACTTATAAGGGCATACAGTCAATGGAACAATCTCTCTCTCTCTCTCTGTCTCTCTCTCTCTCTCTCTCTCTCTCTCCCTCCCTCCCTCTCTCTTCTACATTTCTATATCTCAGTCTCATATTTCTTCCTGAATTATCTGTTTAGGAGCCTGAATACATTGCTTGCTCGCTCTGGGATTTTATAAAACTTGAATACCCTGATGGTCCCTTTTATGCCTTCTACCACCAATGCCTATTCGTAACAATACCAAAAACTAACAATTGCCTAATYACTGGTAACTCTGGCCTGTTCCTCAGTAGGTTCCTCAGTGCACCTCAGATGAGGAGCCTTGAAATCTTACTCCAAGCACCAGAGAGCACAGGTCTTGGAAGGCAAAATTGGGAGTATCTTCAAGTATTACCACATATGGATATGAAAAGCATATTGATTAGAAAAGAATTTGACCTTGACCTAGGATTCTGTATGTAAATAAACCAATTTACATGCCGCATTGCCATAAATACATTGATTCTGTCAAACCTAACACAAGGTATACTACTAAAACATTCTATTCTACTGCAAATTATTTATCATGATTCTAAAGAAGACATTATTACATTCTAAATGATAGCTGTCCTRGAAACTATGTACCCCAAGAATCCAGGGAGTTTCCAAAATAAAGCTTCAGACAGGCAGATTTAAAAAAAAATAAAATAATAATAAAAAGCCTTTCCCTCCTTTATCACTAGAGAAAGATTAAGATGATATTTTGTCAAGGAAAAAAACTCTATAGAGCAATAAAACACTGAATGTTCTGAACATATGGTACCCAGGGGTTGATCATTTTCAAAAATGGCCTTACTGTTAAGAAAATTGGCAGAGACCTTACAAGATTATTAGACCATTCTTTCTAATATTTCCTTCTTCCAGATTAAACTCTAACCAATAACATAGGACCAGAAGGGTTTATTCTATATCTATCTTATTAAAAAAAACTCCACAAAATTTAAAGACCCCAGTCACTTATGTATTCAACTCATTAAACACACTGCACTATCACATAGTTAGAAATAATTATTTCTGGTGCATTTATTTTGTTTCAGAAAAGAAAGACAGAAACCTCTGAATTTGAATGATCCCATTTAGGTCTTTCTGGGAAAATCACAAAATAATGAATGAGCAAAAATGTTGATGACTATGCTAAGAAGTTTATTTCCCATACTAATGTCTATAATTCAATAATAAAAGACAGGGAATTCAGATAGCTCAAAGGGAAGGGCAATTAATCTGCTTTCTGGGAAAATCTGCTATGTTTTTGTCATGAGAAAACAGTAGAATATGGATTTTGACTTCCCTCCTCTTTATTCTTCACGGGGATGCCATTTCTTCTTTACCCCAAAGACCTTTCTTTTCTTTGATGTTCTCAGTGTSTGACCTCAACCTTCCCTGATAGAAGGATTGCCTGGGGCCTGAAACGATTCTCTTTCTCAGTTGTGGCTTCAGCATCTGCCTTCTTTCTTAAACCATTAGTGAGACTGGAGTGAGAAGGAGAGGTAAGGGGAGGGAGGTTGGTCATTTTCCTCTTTATCGTCCTAGCCTCAAGTCTTCCTTCCTTCCTTCCTTCCTCTCTCTCTCTCTCTCTCTCTCTCTCTCTCTTTTCATTGTGCACACCAATCACTCTTTAGAACTTGGAAGCCGACAGAAAATAATTTAAAGGTGTATGCTGAGTCTTACAAAAGCCATTGCTTTGCTCCATGTGCAATTTTTTTTCCTGGGGCTGAACAACATTTATCTACTCATTAACAAGTGTAGCCTGGGTCCCTTTTCATGCAGTGTTATTTTATTATTTCAATTTGATCTCCTGTGTCACATTGGGGGCACATCAAAAGAGAAACCCGTTCACAAGTGTTGCTGTGCATGAGTAGGAAATCGAGACTTAAATTTAAATTATTAGGAGAAAGCAAAATTTGATTCACAGAATGAGAGGATRTGTGATTTTTGTAGTACTTTGGTCAATATCTGTGATCCTCTTTTAAAAATGTTTAGTGTACTACAAACTCAGACTGATCCATTATATAATTGAAAAATATGTTGGCAACATACATATATTAATACTTATTGTTACACTAGTAATAAAAGTAACTTACATTATTAAGAATTTAGCATGGATAAAACATCAAAATATGTTCCAATCCATTATGTGAATTCCTTTTCTAAATTACTTCAAAAATTATATAGCTACTGTTAAGTTGCTATTTTTTAGGAAAATAAAAACTGACCCTTCAGAGATGAACTTGCCCAAAGTCTCCTGATAATATATAGTGGAGTAGGAGTTGACACCAGATTTTTCTGGGCTCCAARTCCATGTTATGAACCATTATTTTATTCAACTCTAAGAAATGTTACTAAATTTCCTCACAGCAATTCAAARAATGCTTATGCAAACAAGGTACTATACTAATAGTGATGAAGAAGAAGGTGTTCAAAATCTRTTTACCCATGTGCCAATTTCCTTTTATTCCTTAGTCAAAAATTCAACTGCCTTTGTGCTGTGGATAATCCATTTTAGGTCATATGACAGGACAATAGTAGAAGAAAGTCATAGRAACCTCTTGATATCCATGAGGCCTCTGAAATCTTTCAATTCAGTGTTTCTCAAACATTGGCACACATAAGAATTATCTAGAAGGTTTATTAAAAAGCTTATTTWCAGGGGCCCTCCCTAGCTCTGACTGCAAGATGGACAAATCCTTTGCCAAATTCATGTGCCAAAAGAACTTTCATCCTGTCTCTGAATGCACTATCCAAAAGGTATGGATGGCAGAACAGAAATTATTATATGATAAGAAGAAACATGAATTAATGCAACAGTATCCTAAAGTACAAGTGTTATATGATAACAGATTCTTATGGAAGGTGAATGTGTAAAGAATAGCCTTAATTTCATGTGTGAAGTTCCACTAGGAGCTAATGGAAGAAAATAAAGAGAAAGAAGAAACAGAATAGAAATTTGAATAGCAGAAAGGAACTCCATGTGAAAAAATAAGCCAAAGATGGCATGAACACCAGAGATCAGCCCTTTGGCGTTCAGTTTTGAAATGTGAGATGYGTTAAATATCACTAATGGGGTCATGTCAGCATAATTCAAGAAMGTCCTTTGAATTTTCTGGAACCAATGTATGTTGGGTTCCCACTGATGGCTCAGGACCCTCAATGCACCCTCAGGGAGCTAATAGTGGAGATGAGAAATAGTGGGTTTTCACTGTAAAGGAAATATACTGGGGAGAAACTTGGGTGCAAATGATCCATCACAGCAACGGAAGGATGTCTGTGTTGACTCAGAGTTTGCTGCCAGTGAGGGTGAAGAAAATTCAGAAGTTAAAGTCTTAAAGTCACTCAAAACCAAATGAAAACAGAAGCAGCTCAGGAAATTGGATAGAAAAGAAAAAAGGTATTAAAAAATGTTACAGAAGAGCAGATACAAACATAAAAAAAAATTTTTTAAACCTCTTCTTCCTCCTCCTCCTCTCTGACTTTCTCCTCCTCTTCCTCTAATATGATTTCAAAAAGCAGTCATTACAATTACTATAAAGAAAATTTTTAAAAAGTAGGAAAAATAAGCATTCCAGAAATTAAAATGAATGTGAAGAGACTAAGGGTAAAAAAAAAAAAAAAAACAAACAAACAAACAAAAAAAACTTTATGAAGAACTTTCTAGAAGTTATAGTGACAAGGGAGAAAGCAACAACAACAACAAGGAAAAGCCTCAGTTTTAAAAACAAGAAAGTTCTGGAGAGGATAGCAAGTGGAGCCATCCTAATTGTAGGCAAAAATCTAGAAGGCATCATCACAACCCAGAGAAGAGAGGATCTGAGAGAAATGTRCAAAGTAGCAGAAGTCATAGCAGAGATAAGAGAAGTGGGAGAAACCCACTTCCTGGTAGTTATAAGCAAAGGGAGTAAAAGCAGCAGCCGTAGCAGAGTCCCAGTGAAGAGTGCAATAGAGAAAATGACACCAGAATACCATGGTACCCATGCACGCAGGAAGCACTCGTGAGACAAGCACACTGAAGGGACATGGGAGAGAATAAAGGGACCATATGTGACAATCACCTAGGAATAAAAATATGTGCGTTTTCTTATTGAATAATAAAAAAACTACAAAGTCTAAGTTATGTACTATTATCTTTCTAATAAAAAAAATCTGGATTCCAACTTTCCATCTCTGTAAACTGTCCTTTCAAATACAAAACTGCAGGAATACCATAAGGATGAATTTTGCAAATATACCTAAATATAATCTAATTTGAGGTTGTAGAAATACTTTCTATTGGTAACTGTTTCTTTGAACCCTATGCCAGATAAAAACCCCATGTAACTTTGTGAAACTTGCTTTGTTCTAAAACATCATAAAACGACGGATAGCATATTGAATGATTATTAAACAAAAAAACATTCCTGGATCTCACCCTCAAAATTCTGATTCAGTAGGTCTGGGGCAGGACCTGAGAATCTCAATTTCTATTAGAGAATTAGGTGATGCTGCTAATGGTCTGAAACTTCATTTAGAACAGCAGGGGTCTACTTGATAGCAACAATCACCTTCTGTTCATAAGTTCAGTGTTGCCAAAGGTGAATATTCTGAATCTTTACTGGACATCACTAGAGAAATGGCTTGAAATGGAAATTACACAATGCAAACACCAGCGAGTCTTTTTCCTTTGGTTTGCAGGCCACTCGGAGAATCAGTGCTGGTCTCTGAATCACTAAGTAAGAAGCCTCCATGTCTGACTGGGACTTTCGTACCTCTTTTACCAACAAGGATCTGGAAATTGTCTGATATTTTCTCAGTTATGATCCCATGAGTTTATAATGATTTAACCCCAGGGGTGCTATTTATATATAGTTATACACTTATCTTCATGACTCCACAAATATTTACTCTATGTCTGCATGCACCTGAAACACTTCAAGGTGTTAACAGCGCAGCAAAGAACAAAATAGGAAATATCCATGCTAGCATCACCTTACAATTTACTTCCTAATTCCCATTCCAGAAACCCAGACAACTAGGGGTTGCAAACTGCTAGGCTCATGTGTGCAACCCCTTTCCCTGGGGCTAGATCCTGTWTTCATGATCCTTTCCATCAACCAGATGAAATTACAATGTGATATGGATTTTTCTGCTCAGAAGTCACATTCTCATTTCCCATTCTCTTACAAATGTTGCCTCAGTAGAACCTGAACTCATTAGGTCTCCTTGGATGTGAAGATTTGGAATGATACAGCTCCCCAGATGGTTATTCCCTTGTAAAAGTTCATTTTGCCCAGTGAACCTCAGGTCACCTTTCATTCTGTCTAGCATTCCCAGCATGGGTTTTGTCAACTATGCAATCACAGACCACATCATCTTCTCACCTAACTCTTCTGATTCCTGCTGTGGTAGAATTGATTTTATTTCAATTGATAAACCATTTTGGGGGAAATTGCAAGCCATTGATTTAGGGAAGCAGTGTGAGGGATCTCTTAAAGAGCTTATGCTTTAAAAAGCATCAGAACTACCAGCCTAATTCCACCAGCTGATGATGTCTGCATGGTGATGCATAAATAGGACATCTCTGAGACAGAGTTTCTTCTGGTAGAACGGCTCCCATAATTGACGAGATCAAGTTGTTAAAAGTCTCAAACACATTGCCAGCCCCGAAATAGGAAATTGAAAATAGTTGGTTACTGTAATAGACAGATCACAGTTGTGACCCTAGTTCTTCTCTCCCTTCACCCATGCCCCTATGCAGTGGGACTGACTCTTCCTCCCACAAAAAGGCCTAATCTATATCTTCAACTCTTGAATCTTGGTGGGTTATACACTTGATTTGGCCAAAATAATATGGCAAATTATTATGTTGTGGACAGGAATCATCTTCAAAAAGATATTGTGCTAATGCAAAAATAATCAGAGGCAAAATGATTAGAGCTGTAACCTAATCAGTCCATCCTTGTTTGAATGGACTGACTGGGTAGTAACTGTAGACAGGTGGGGCACGGCTGGAAGAATTGGGTCCTGAAGGTCTGCCCTGGAAATATGCACTTTCCTGCAGCCCTTCCTCATCCACTCCTATCTCTTTCTTTCCTTTCTTTCTTCCTTCCATGAGCTGAGGGATTTGCCTCTACTTAACCCTTCCACCATGATGTACAGCTTCACCTTGGACCCATAGCAATGGAATCAGCTATCTATGGACTGAGACCTCTGAAACCATAAGCTTCAAAAAAACTTCTTCTTCTAAGTTCTTCTTGTCAGGTATTCTGGCCACAGGGGTGTAAATTTGACGAAAACACAAATGTTATATGAGACGACAGTTGCAAGCCTTGACCACAAGAAGTCCCKTGTGTTTCTGCTCATTCTCTTGTATTCCTGTGCATTTAAATAAGCTCTAGGTAGCCTGGTGCATGAAAGAGGCCTGAGTAGAGCTCAGTGAGCCATGTCCCCAGATATAGAAGTAAACCCACTATAAACTAKCAAATCTATCCTATTGGCCTATAGCTGACAATGGAGGAGTGCATGCCCAGCTCAAATCAGTCGGCCCGGACCCATTTAGCAGGATCACAAAACTGACCTATATGCTTGTAAAAAAAAAAAATGCTAAGTAATTATTAGTTTACGCTACTAAGTTTTTGAGCAGTTTGTTATGCAGCATTATTGTAGAAACAGATAAAACTTTACATTTCTTTTCCTAATTCCTTTACCTGTTTGGTTCAATGTTATCTATGTAAACTAAACTTCTTTGTCTGCTTTATGTTCTTCCTTCCCTTACACCACAATACAAGGCCAATCAGTCACCAATYCAAAATGTCCCATGACTTGGAGGTAAATGTCCTGTAGAACTGGAAAATTTTTCTTCCCTGAGAAAGAATGTTCTTCATATCTTTCTCCAAGACTTCAGCTACTTGAAAAGTGGACAGGACAGTTGTTTGACCCTTTTCTGGATCATATCACACCAGTTGCAATGGTTCCTGATTCTTTCAAAGCTGCAAATGTCTTTGRACACAATATTGTTGGCTTGTTAGCATCTCATTCTGGAACTGGACCCTGTCCCATGCAGGGAACTTGGTATCTGTCCCATCCTACCCATTTTGTCCTGTCATGCCCAGTAACCTAGATATCATTATTATATTATTTACTACCATATCACCAACATCTGGTTCATTGAAGACAGTTCAAAATATTCACTCAGTAAGAAAATGGATGAAAGTTGAATAAATTAATGTTGTTCACACTGAAAACATATTTCCCTGTTTCCATATTCCATCTATTAAGATCATACTATTTTTGGAATGGCTAACTTAAGTAATAATCACAATATATTGTTTGCTCTTCTCCAAAAGCATATTACTTTTCTCCATTTTTAGTAGTTCATATTTTTACTTGTCTTGTCCTCGGAATAATATCTTACTAATATTCAATTCTTATTCCCTCCTGTAGTGAAATAAAATATTCCTTTAAATAAATTGGATTTAATTGTTGAACTAAAATAGTCTCAACTGAAAGTTTGTTCCATACTAATTTGGAACCATAGCATATAAATGTCCATTGGTCCTTCATAAGGAGAAATAAATTGATAAGTTTGGGTAATCTAAATATTTAAAACACCATGAGTAGCCTGGAGATCTATTGAAATAYAGAGAATGGAAAGATATATCAGTCTACTGTACATAGTATAATGCTGTGTAAAAATCTGTCCCAAATACATATTTATTTCTTGTTCAGATGTCTTCTAGTCAACCAGGTTTGGCTGGATTTAGCTAAGCTTGGATTCTAGCTAGTGTTTTGATCCAGATCTGATCTACAGTTTTCATGCTTATTAAAATGCTGACTTCTGGAGAGAGGTTCTTCTCATGATGAAAGGCAAGAACATGAGAAATTAAGTTCCAACACAGGGTACATTTAAAGCTATTTCGTGCAGCATATCCACTAATACTCCATTGACCAAACCACTTTACACAGCCAAGCTCAACCTTCGTGGTTTGGGAAATATATATTTATTTACACTAGTGGGAAGAACTACAGAGGAGCAAAGAGCATGATTTCAGGAAGGGGGTCAATAATGGGAACACTAACACAATGCCTGTAGCTGGGAACTAAATGAATAAAAAATAGAAATATTAGAGTTTCACTAGGGTTACAACAAGTATCTCAATTGCAAATTTTGGCTTCATCTCTGAACACTCAAAAAAACCCATCATTTTATATGCATTCTAAGCTACAAGTTACTTGAAAAGAAATGTTGTATTATAATCAAATCCGTCAGTAGTATGATTTTTAGATGACAATACAGGAAGTACATTTCTATGCTTTATTTTCCTTCTGTTCAGCGAATTATAATAAAAGCCTGTTTAATTTGGAAATGGCACCAGTAACTGGAAACAGCTTAGATATCAACTCATTATTGAAAGAAAATTTCTGTTCATGCATACATTTTCTGCTTTAAGATTTGCCTTTGAGAACAAAAACAGTCTTTATTTAGCTTAAGTAAAATATATTATTCTTTAATATGCTATATAGTATAGATAATATTACAAGTGTGTAGGAGGTATGAATTTGCTACTATTATAATTCAAAGTCAAATAAATGTCACTTTTCTTTATGTTCTTTCAATCATATTAAATCCAACTTTAAGTCCGAAGGGAAATTGAATCTTAYTATTAGGAGCTGTCACATGACTCCCCTTCATTCATTCTGCCCTCACTTGGCAAATGTCTTGAATTAGACAAGGGATCTCAAGCAGAACAGAACACCTGGAGAGAATGTGCTGAATTCCAGCACACATTAGGAACCAGTAAGTTCTTTAAATCTCCAACTAATCCAATCCCTGAAGCCTCATAGGTCTGCAGTTATCAAGGCTAGAATCCTCACAAGATGTGGAATCCTGTCACCACTCAGTCCCACCTCCTAGAAGTGTGCCACA